CAAACTCATCATCAACTTCGTCAACTACTGGACCGACTACGGCGGTATGTCCGCGTACGTGAGCGCGTATGGCGGATCCGACGAGACGGATTTCTATACCAGTGATACGATGCAATCTGCGTATCAGACGTATATCAAGACGGTCGTGGAGCGGTATAGTAACTCGTCGGCGGTGTTTGCGTGGGAGTTGGCGAATGAGCCGAGATGTCCTAGCTGTGATACTACCGTGTTGTATGATTGGATTGAGAAGACGAGCAAGTTTATTAAGGGGTTGGATGCGGATCATATGGTTTGTATTGGTGATGGTGAGTGCCCCCAAACCTTCGAAACTAAGATAAGGTGGGTGCTAATCAGAAGTAGAGGGCTTCGGCCTCAACACCGACTCGGACGGCAGCTACCCGTACCAATTCGCCGAGGGTCTTAACTTCACCATGAACCTCGGTATCGATACTATTGACTTTGCTACCCTCCACTTGTATCCTGATAGCTGTACGTACCCCTCTTCTTCCCAGAGAAATTCAAACTAACAAACGAATGAAGGGGGCACCTCCGACGACTGGGGCAACGGATGGATCAGCGCACACGGCGCGGCATGCAAAGCGGCCGGCAAGCCCTGCCTACTGGAAGAATACGGCGTCACCTCGAACCACTGCAGCGTGGAGAGCCCGTGGCAGCAGACAGCCCTCAACACGACGGGCGTCAGCGCAGATCTGTTCTGGCAGTATGGTGATGATTTGAGCACGGGCGAGTCGCCGGATGATGGGAATACTATCTACTATGGGACGAGCGATTATGAGTGTTTGGTCACGGATCATGTGGCTGCTATTGATAGCGCGTAAGGGATAGGGAGATGTCGATATATCTAGTTGATACATTATGAGGGGTGTTGTACATAAGACTGCGCATAAGGGAGAATGCGAAGGATGATAACTGAAAGTTGAGTTTGGATAGGGTACAATCTGACAGGAAATCATCTCTCTGATTAACGCAGTGCATATCAGCCAATCAACTTGGATGTGTTGTGGAACTGGGTATATTGATGAAACATGCTATCTACACATCAAACAAATTGAAATCGAAAAACCAAAAAACAAAGACACAAGGGGAAAAAAAACATATATTCCAGTCCCATCATAAGCCATAATTATAACCACTCCGTACCTACCCGAAACCAAAATCCCCACCACCCAATTCAACTTTAATCCCTCTCATACCTCCCCCGAACCCTCGTAAGCTCCACCTCACTCTCACTCCCACCCCCCTCGCCCCTCTCCTCCCCCTTAACCGTCAAAAACGGCTCCGCATCACCAACCCTCTCCGCCGTCAACCCCATATTCCCGGGCCTCCTCATCCCCGCCTCCAACTGTCTCTGATACGACACCCTCCGCAACCTCGCCGACTCAGCCGGAGTAAGATGCAGATACAGCTCGGCCGCAAAGACATGAATAGCGACTGCGAGCCACGCCGCAGCACTGAAGCTGATGTCCAGGCCAGCGGCAGCCTGGTCCACATTCCCGGTTCCATTGGAGCTGAAAGCATTGACGAGGACATGGTGGTTTGGATTAGTCCCCGTGCAGGACGGATGGAGGGATTGCACGACGGATTGGTTCCCGTTCAGCATGAAGGAGATTTCAGAGCAGGAGTAGGAGACGAAGTATTGGTTGGGGGCGAGGGCTACGAGGACTTTGTTGGTGGTTATGCCGATGATACGCATAGTTATGATGAAGCCGCCCTGTTGGGTATCAGTACAGAGTATCTAGGGAGGAAGGGGAGGGGACATACGCAGACCCAAGCGCGGATCATCCACGCGCGGTGCTGCTCGATCTGCAGCCTCTTGATATTATAATAAGCAATGCAGATACAGCTAAGGAAGATGATGAGTGCCACGCCGAGGGCAATTTGGATGCTCACGCCGCCGCCGAAGCTATGCTCCGCTATCATTAGCACGCCGGCCATGCCAGTGAAAGAGCCGATGATGACCAAGTAGCCGTTGATGCGGTGGAAGAGGATGACTTTGTGGCGGATGACGGGGACGAATTGGAGGAAGGCGAGGAGACAGGCTGGCAGGATGGCGCCGAGGTGGAGGAGGATGCCGACGCGGCCGCGGGTATCTTGGTAGTAGAAGCATTCGCCGGGCAGGGCATCGGCTTTGTTTTGGTCTGCTGGGCAGAAGATGCCGTCGAAGTTGAGGTACATGAGTCGGGCGAGGGAGAAGCCGAGTAGTGCGCCGGCGGATATCATCCATAGGATGAAGTTGTAGCCTTTGGCGAAGCCGATCGGGTTGTAGATCTTGCGGGCGGTGGCTACGAAGTTGTTGGCTGGGGGGCGGGTGGGTTTGACCATTTTGATGGGTTGATGGATGTGGTCGAGGAGGATGATGAGGGATGAGTCAAGGTTCTGAGGATTGGATTCGGCAATATGATGCAGTCGAAGCATGTTGGTAGTTACTGAGAAGGTGACTTTATACATCTTTCGTGCTCGAGGACACTGTTAACAGCCCCGGGCTCTTGTTCCTGCGGGCGATGCATCGTTTCAGAAGACATCAACATTACCCAGATGGGTTAGGGTTTTGCGATCTGATGACCTTAATCAGCAGCGTGAGATAGACTAGAACCTGACAGAGGCTCAGCTGTGAATAGTCTTGGCAGATCGAACCCTGTAGAATTGGTTATCAGGAAAGCTGAAACCCCAGACTCAAGCCTGTTTAAAGTTAAAGCAGTGCCACACTATACCCAACTCGGTATCTTTTTTGCGACAGCACATGGCCAAGACCCTATCCCGTCCGACAGATCTCAGCCGCAGTTGCAGCCTCCGCACAGCTAGCCTAATTCTGTGTTGTGTTCAGGCATTGAGTGGGGGCCGGAGTTCAGCCTTGTCATGATGGACCCCTATTTAATCCATTTACTCATGAACGATTAGAGTTGTTCCTTCTGTCGCAATACCATCGCTACTTTGGGCACCCCCGCTCTCAATATGGTCAATTACGGCCCCTCTGGAGGATGCGTTACATGCAAATCACGACGGGTCAAATGTGACGAGGCGAAGCCTGAATGTCACTCGTGTCAACGCCTCAACCTTCGGTGTGGGGGCTACAAGTCGAAGCCCGTCAAGATAAGGTTCAAAGATCAAACCTCCAAAGTTTGCAATGACATTGCTTCGAGACATGCAGCCCAGCACCAGCAATTGGTTCCTTGCTTGCGATCGCTAACCGACCCCGACCCTTCTGTTCCATTCTTCATTCGACATTACGCCATGATGGGTCGCGACATGAAATCCAGCCGCGGATTCTTCGAGATGTTAGTCCCAGTATACGCTTCTGAGAAGCAGAACTCGGCGCTCTCACTCGCCGTGACAGCCACCGCTTCGGAAATTATGTCGCGTTGGCGACACGAGAGTAGCTCCAGAGCATCACGGGAGACGTATGCCCAGGCCATCAAGTGTCTTCGAGAGACAATCCAGGATCGCAATGAGTGGACGAATCCAGCAACCATTCTAGCGGTGTTGGCGCTGCAATTCTATGAAAATTTCGCTGTTATATACGGCAGTCAATCAGCCACAAGGGTCCACCACGACGCAGCCGTCTCCCTGCTCCCACTCACCGATCAGAACTGTCCCGATGGGTCACTCATGGCACACATTCGGCGATATATCCTGCATATTGAAATCTCCTCGGCGATACGTCAGAAACGGCTGCTGCAGAGCACGGCCCATTCGCGTATTGGGTGCATCGAGCCGAAAATTGCACCAGGTAATTTTGGGCCCGCCCTGGATGCAATCGGCGCGTTTGTTGCCGAGTTACATGCAAGTTATTGGCAGCATGCAGCACATAACGGCTTTGTGTCTTCTACAGAGATTCCCAGGAATTGGATAGCCGAGGCAAAACGCATTGACGAACAACTCCTGGCTTGGGCACAAAAGGTCCCGCAACATTTGCAGCCGGTGAGACTCACGGATGGGAGTGGCCTTGACCCATCGATACCAACCTACAATTCCATCTACGACGTTTACATTTCATGCCAGATCGGTACACTATGGAATGAATGGCGCGCTCAACGCCTCTTGCTCGTCAAGATCATTCTCAGTTCGCTCCGTACGAGCCCACCAGGGCGTCTTGCGCGTACAGATGCTGAAACTGCAACGGGAGATGAAGACTTCGCCAATTATAAATACATTCACCAAGAACTGATCGACTCAGTCTGCTACAGCGTACCTTTCTACCTTGGAAACCAGGGCGGATGGCTGAGTATTCCCGACTTGACCGACCCATCAATTCGGCTTCCTAGCTATCGCTTACTAGGAAACGCCAACCAACAAAAGTCCGCGCAAAAGTCGGAGGACGAGCACAGAAGCCATATTATTGCCCAAGGGCCGTGGCATATTATGAGTATGCTGAGTCGTGTGGTGGTATTCTTCATAGAGGACTATGGTCAGGGAATGGTGTCTTTTCTCCGACCTGGACAGCTTCCGTGGATCCGCGGGCAGTTCTTGCGGGTCACGCAGCTACTCCGTATTCCGTTGGAGGAGACGGGTGATGCTGAAGGGAGGTTATATCCTTTGGATAGGGCTGTACATGCAGATTTAGATGGGAAGATAGATAATTTGGCGAGGCGAGTCAGAAAGGGCGCATTTATATGACGAGTCTTTGGAACGTGATCCTCCATATCTGTGCTTTCAGTGTTGTTGAGTGCATCTTTGCGTGATGAACGAAATGAAGTTAATGGCTATATTAATACTACGTTTATGATACCTATGTCAATTTTCCGCAACTGGTGGTGCATGTAGCATCCCCTGGGGTAGGCACCAACCTGAGGCCGCAATTGACAGCCTCGCCGCCAAGCCCGAATCTGCCCTGCAACACAGCCTCGTCTTACTCTGACTCTTTTCACAACACCAGATCTTTAGGCTGCACAGTAATGTCGCTGGACTAATTTATCGGTCTTCATTCTTTTGCAACTTCATAGCATCACATAACCCAAAGTCACTGGCAATACTCCCCCAACATGGGCCGACCGAAAGATCTTCCCCCATCCTATGAAGAGACTGTGGCTAGTGATCCCAATCTCCCCGCCGCCTCCCGGCCAGCACCACCACCTCCACCACCTGCAACCACCTTCTCCTTCCCTCATCTCCCCGAAGCCCCCATTCCTGAAAGTCAACCCTACCACAGCATCCACTCGGGCAACCGCGACTCTTCCACCGTCACCCTCGCTCCATCTCTCAGCGAAGATGCCTCGTCCCTGCACGCCCTCATCATCCAGCAAGCCGAGTTCCCGCCGCGACCGTACCTGACCGTGCGCGGTTCCCACACCGAGACCCGCCACGACCACCATCGCAAGGAAGATCGCAAGGAGACGATCGTGGACTTTGCCTTCAAGGTTGATCTCTACGGATACATAATACGCCACGAGCATGGAACCCCGCAGTATGGCGACGACGATGACTTGGGACTGGACCTGGACCCTACCCAGGATGGATGGCATGTGCTGAGTGTCGTGCGGGATAATGATACACGAAAGACCTACCGTGGGGGACGTTTCAAGTCAGAGACGTGGTCGGGCCGAAGGAAAGGGCCACTGGGACAGCGAATCCGACAGCGAGTGGGAGAGCGACTGCGCTCACGATTCGTGCAACTGGAGGAAGGCCTCGATCACGAGGCGGCCGGGTTGGTGCGACAAGATGAGGGCGGCCCTAGTTTGATGGGCTGGTGTGAGCGATACTGCGATGATCCGTCTTCTGTCAAATCGTGCGCTTCCCCAGGTAGTAAATATTTACCTACGGTATGCTGACTTGTGCAAGTTCAAATTCTCCCGCAGCATCGTCGGCTTCGATGGCTCTGTTCTGATCTCCTCATTGACATCCCATCTGCGCAGTCTGCAATACAGAGGCGATATCAGCATCACAGTTGACATGGCGAATCGCGATTTAATAGTATACAACCCCCACTGGGTGAACAAGCTACGCAACAATGCCTGGGTGTACTTTCTCTGTATCATCCTACAGGTGTGGATCCTCGCGTGGCCGATTATCTTTTTGCTCGAGCGTCGCTACGATATCGTCCGGTCGGTGTGGTATTTCTCGCGAGTTGAGGAGGGCGAAACGCGGTATGCGCGCCATCGCGATGAGGCCGCCATAGCGGATGAACTAGCTCCGGCGGTGACGCAGGCCGCGCTGGAGCGGAATCAGGAGGGGAGGATCCTGACAGCACCGGAGATGCAGCTGCTTGATTCATTGGGGAGGGAGAGACAAGAGCGTGGCGTGGTCGTGATGCAGTGGGATCGGTTCCTTGGATGGGGTGGTGATAATTACTCCTAGTTGCCGGCCGATAGCCGGTTGAGTGCTATCTGAGAGAGACAGTGCTTGGCCAATAAGCCATGGCTAGCCTAGCATGTATGTTACACCCGTCTTCGGTGTAGAGGTGTTATTGTCAGTGGCTGGTCTATTACTAGTCTATGGCCGGCATGTGAGCAGACATAGGCCAGAAGACTGGCAAAGATTGGCTCAGTATACTTCTTATCATATGAAACACATACCAAACTAAGCGAACCTGATCCGGTTCAACACCTGCATGGCGCATATGTACAACACCGGGTAGCTCCCCGAATAAAATGACAGTTTCTCGACCACCACCGAGCAGCCGGACCGGTGGCCGGACCGGTAGAAGGCGTTGGGAGAGCTTAAAAAGAGGGTTCAGGGGTATGAAGACCCTGGGCGAGGCTAGGATTTCGGCGATACGAGAGGAAGCGATAGCCAGCTGGACTGGGATAGGGCAGGACGAGACACGCTAGACAGAACCGAGGCACGGGACGCCACAGCAACCAGTCAGGGGAAGAGCTGCCACAAGGCTGCACCTCACCAGGAATCCTGCATATCCCTTCCGGTGGCCGGTTGAGGTGCGCATTGGCAAAGGAAGCGAGGTGAAAGAGTGGCTGATAAGCGTGTCTTGAGCCTGATGCACCATCACGCGAGCACCAATCACGCCCAGCAACTTAATTTCCCCCGCATCTTCTTATCTTGTCCCGTCTATTCCCAATTCATCTGGATGTCTCCGACCGTCATGAATCTAATGTATTTCACTGGTTAATGCCACTGACCGTCCCGGTTGCGGGGATTGTCCTACTGTAAGCGATGTCATGCCAAGGGCACGAGTGGTACGAGGACAGCGTTATGCTTTCCCGTTACTTATAACCAGGGCACGTCGCACGACGTTGCTCTTCCGTCACCTTGAGATGTCCACCACTTCACCCTCACCTCGCCTCCCTTCCCCTTCGCAGTGTCCCGTACACCATGGCCCCATCAGAGAAACCAGAAATGGCGTCCACATCACATCCGGACCCCGAGTCCGGCATCGCAGCCGGTGATCTGAAATCAGGTGCTTTGCATGAGATGATCGCGCGCGACCTTCTTGATGAACGATACAAGGTCACTCAGCGTGGCCTCAAAAACCGCCATGTCCAACTCATGGCCCTGGGAGGTACAATCGGTACCGGTCTCTTCGTCGGATCTGGTCAGGCTCTACATATCGGCGGTCCTCTTTCCCTCCTGCTCGGTTATATCTTCATTTCAGTCCTTGTCTTCTCCCTCGTCACTGGAATCGCGGAAATCGGCGCCTACATGCCCGTTCACGGTGGAACAATGAGCTATCATGGCTTTCGCTACGTCTCGCGCAGTATGGGGTTCGCAATGGGATATTTGTATTGGTACTCGCTGGGGATATTGGTGCCGTATGAGGTTGTCGCGGCTTCGATGGTCATCGATTACTGGCATCCGAACGTTAATCTGGCCGTCTGGATCACCATAATGCTCGTTGTTATCGTCCTTCTCAACTGTCTGCCGGTGGGCGTATATGGCGAAACCGAGTTCTGGTTCTCCGGCATCAAAATCATCACTCTGGTCGGCTTGCTGCTCTTGTCCTTCATACTCTTCTGGGGTGGAGGTCCCAACCGTCAACGCCTCGGGTTCCATTACTGGAAAGACCCCGGAGTCATGAACACCTACCTTGTATCCGGCGATGCCGGTCGCTTCGTCGGCCTTCTGCAGTGCATCGTCAAATCAGCCATCGCATTCATCTTCGCGCCCGAATTAGTCGTCATCAGTGGCGGTGAAATGGAATCCCCACGTCGCAACGTCCCCAAGGCCGCCCGTCGATACATCTACCGCCTCGTCATCTTCTACGTCCTGGCCGCCCTCGCCATCGGTGTCATCTGCTCCTCCAACGCCAAACAACTAACCGCCGGCTCCGGCACCGACGCCTCCTCCTCCCCCTTCGTCGTGGCGATCTCCAACGCCGGCATCCCCGTCCTCCCCAGCATCGTCAACGCCGCGATCCTCACCTCCGCCTGGTCCGCCGGCAACTCCTTCCTGTACATGTCCTCCCGCTCACTCTACTCCCTCGCCGTCTCCGGCAACGCCCCCAGCATCTTCAAAGCCTGCAACCGCTGGGGCGTGCCGTATTACGCCGTCGCCATCTCCTCCCTCTTCTCCCTCCTCGCCTACATGGCCGTCGGAAGCGGCAGTTACACCGTCTTCAACTGGCTCATCAACTTCACCAACACCTCCGGCTTCATCTCCTGGTTCTGCTGCAGTGTCGTGTACTTCCGCTTCAACAAAGCCGTTAAAGTGCAGGGCGTCGAGAAACCCTATTCATCGCGCATGCAGCCATGGGGTATGTACGTCGGTCTGGCGGGCTCGACCTTCCTCGCTCTGATCAATGGATTCACCTGCTTCTTCCCGTCCGAGTGGTCCGCGAGTAACTTCTTCACCGCGTATATCGGTATCCCCGCGTTCGTGCTGCTGTATGCTGTTCATCGCATCGTGTACTGGAGTGATCCGTGGGCGTGGAGGAGTGAGGAGGTCGATTTGCATACCGGGTTGAGGGAGATTATGGAGGCGGAGAAGCCCGAGAGGGTGAGGGATACGTGGTGGAAGAAGTTGGCGGTTTTGGTGGAGTAGGTGGGATGCCTCCTGGATGGTGGGGCTGGGGGTTTGCTAGGTTAATAGTTATTTAGCTAAATATCACCTCTCATGTTGAGTTCATATTCGTTCAAACTTCCCTAGAAACATCGTCTTTCATCGGTTGAAGTGGTATCATGAGAGGTATAAATATATGTAACTAGCCAACAACCATCGTGTCGATCGCATCGCAGACCGGTATATTATGCGTTCAAATTAGCCATGGGTATAAGAACATATTTTCGGACAATTTCATGCCAGACTTGCTGTATCAGAGCGTTGGGGATGAGTATATACCATAGGTAGGGCACAGATGTCGGGCCGAAAGGTGAATTGGCACACCTGCCTGATGCAAGTGCGTGTCGCGCCGGGACTGATTGGATGGTAAGATACATGGTTGGATTGGTAGCTAGCAGGGCCAATGAAATAGTAGGGTATATATATTCCGGTAATGAGGGCCCTTCTGCTACTGAAAAAGTGTTTGACTTTGGTTTATTGCTAACAAGGAAGATCAGTCAACCGTATAAACCTGGCCTTAGAGAAACAAGTTAGAACCTCCGATCAAAGGTTGGTACATACGGACCTAATTGACAATATGGAATTGAATCTAGACTTTGATGTATATCGTGGATGTTTGTGTTGTGTTTCGGCCGAAGGAAAATAAAGTTGGGAGTCGGGGTCATTGGTATGTCAGATATGAAGCCACAAAAGTAACGTGAGTCCACGCCGAGAAACCAATTGATGCAGTGGCTGCAATTTGTTAAGGATGATTCGTACAAATGTTATGATGTTTATCCGACATTGAGTTAGTGAGCGAGCAATTCCCGGAAAGTTGGAACAAACGGGTTGCATTGCAATCCAGGCCCAGCCCGAATTCCCCACAAAGGCAATATATGAAACTAGCCCTTGAGAGAAAAAGTTAATAGTGACAGTCAAATAGAGTAGGATATGAATGGCATCGAACCCGACTCGGCGCTCCTCATTCGGCACAAACCTTCAGCTTCCCCCTGCGCCCCACCCTTCCCCCGAACCCATAGATTAGGTTATGTTTCGCAGTGCCCACTATCATGACTCTCTGAGCCCCATGAAGTAGAAAACCCTGTTAGAACTGTCGCAAATGTTCATAGAGCAGCTTTGTGCATCTGCTTTCACCGAACTAGCCCGGCTAGCTCAATCGGTAGAGCGTGAGACTCTTAATCTCAAGGCTGCGGGTTCGAGCCCCGCGTTGGGCTTTCTTTTTTGCTTTTTTCACCCCTCGTCCCGTAAGACATCTACCGTACTACTAGAGACCATGACGGCTTTTCTTGTTGAGTATGAAAAGACCGGTCTTTATTCAATTGAAACTTTCGGCGCAGTGGGATTTCACCAAGCCTTTCTATTCTGACAACATGTACATGTCATATGGGGTCTGGCCATCAGCTATGAACATGCCACCGCTGGGCTTCAGACAATGGATAAGCCACTTGATCTTGGCTGAAGTAAAGGTCTGGAACGGTCTGCCTTTCTGTGGCTAGGATATAGAACATATATCGTCTACCTTGATTCATTCTAAACCAGTTCCTTAGCCAGCCTAATGCAAGATCACCCCCGCGTGCTGCCTTGACCTCCAACATGCAGCTGCTCTTCTTTGCTCCAGCTTTATTTCTCTCCAATGTCCTGGCAGAGCACTTCCAAGCCCCTCTGCAGCCCACTGAATTACTCTCCTCCGCCCCCAAAGATCACCTCCATGACGACCCCAATAGCAAATTAAAGATCAACACCATCCCCCACGGCATTACCGACGACCCCCGCATAATCCACAACCAAACCTTCGACTACATAATCGCCGGCGGGGGCCTCACCGGCCTAACTCTCGCCGCAAAGCTAATTTCGGAGAAGAAATACACCGTCCTAGTGATAGAAAGCGGGTTCTACGCCTGGGAATACGGACCCAAGATCGACGATCTGAACACCTACGGCCAGGTATTTGGCAGCAGCGTTGACCATGCCTATGAGACTAGTCCGCAGCTTGTCGGCAATGACGGGGAAACCGGTCTAGATAAGGACATTAGACTCGTTCGGTCAGGGAATGGGCTCGGAGGGTCGACACTAATTAACGGCGGATCGTGGACGAGACCCCACAAGTCGCAGCTGGATTCGTGGGAAAAGGTCTTTGGGAATACGGGGTGGAGTTGGGAAGCGCTGAAGGGGAAGATGGATGAGATTGAGGTGCCGAGGGACCCGAAGACGGATAATATTACGAAGGGGTCATTGCATAGCTTTGATGCTGAGTGTCATAATAAGGAGCCGGATAAGGGGAGGGTCAAAGTAGGGGCGAGGGATCGGGGGTATGGGTGGTCGCCGTTGATTGGGGCATTGATGGA